CAAATTTAATACCTTAAGCGCTTCTGTAATAGTGGCTGCAGCGCTACTTGCTGCTAAGTTCACAAGATATCGGACCGTAATATTTTTTGTCAGATTTCCTTTGTCCTTAATAACATTTTAGGCTATATTTTTTCTCAGTCTTAACATTTTCATGTGGCGAACTCCACAATTTTTTCCCACTTTTCCTAAGGTCCCGCCTTTCCGCAGTAAATCTATTATTTACATTTATGTTTCCTAATTAACCATGTTATTTACTGGTAATCACTTCTTGAATAAATTACAATACAGAAAAAAGTCATCTGACTTCCAAGTAAGTAAAAGATAACTGTGAAATGCAAAACTGAGAGTGAGTGCAAAACTGTAACATTTGCCTTAATTTACATTTTTGCCTGCTGGTTTTATTATTGTTGTTAGATTGACTTCAAATATTTATGAGAGAGGGAGTAGGGGTGTACCAATAAGAATGTACAACAAAAGTATGAAAGCCGTTAGAACTTGGAAAGATAGCGGTGGCTGAAATAAAACGTGTTAAACCATGTTACAGTTTTGCTCGTCACTGTAGCACGGATTGCTCGAATTGCATAACTTGCCAACATACAAAAACAAAATACATGGCAAACGGCACTGCTAAGTATGCAACGTCCGGACCCATGCACATGTTTTGCAAAAAAGCATAGCAAGATAAATGCGACTCTATGCTAGCTGTTTTGTTGTTGGAATTAATACATATTTCTCTCAATCCTCTCATCTCTCTCACTTCATTTTTTTCTGTATCTTGTTATTGTAGTTGATACAGAATTTCGCTTCTTGCTACCACTTTTCAATGGGGTGCTCTCGTACTCTTCCGAATTTGGAAGAGTATTTTCGCATTTCGAGCAATCCGTGCAACGTGCAAGACCTTTAGAATACCCACTTTGGAACTACGCCGAACTAGTTCCAAATTGTACTTGGGTCGTGAACTTGTCCTAAAGTGATATCGAACAAGTATTGAAACAGTCCCTACTAAGTACACCTAAATAGTTCTAAATTAGTCTTGAACTAGGCCCGAAATGGTCCTGGACCTGTCCCAAATTATTAAAGAAATGTTCCTGAACTAGTCTCAAAATGGTCTGGAATAGGTCCCGAAATGATCCCGAACAAGTTCCGAAATGGTCATGAAATAGTCCTGATTAGGTCCAGTTGATTCTGTTAAATTCACCAAGAATAAGATAGAGATTCTGCTGAATCTGTCACTTTTGTCTTCTAAACATCATGGACTGAGCTTAGAGGCATTTTTACACGTGATTTTAGAGGCAATTAGTTGAATCCAAAGTTGGCTGCCGATCAACTTCGTTGGAAGTAATTGGTTGAAAGCCCGTTCATATCAGACGAATGCTGCTTTCAACTAAAAGTCGCCTCATGTAAACACCGCATAATCAATTTCTATCAGCATTGCGGCCAATACTCAAATCCATTACTCATCATCATTACTGCAAATAGCAGCAATTTTACAAATTTAAAATTTTACAGTGGTGTTCTGATAGAGCTGCCCCACCATATAAAATCTGTTAATGAATAAAGTGAAAATTAGATAACTTGTTATATGGCAAGTGAAATCGATGCATCATTTAATTTTCGCGTGAATGTTTAGGAAACATATAATGCAGCGGCTAAAAGTATGCAACGATTAGTTATTGTGAAGATGCAACATCTAGTTACGCGCCCCTCATATTGTCAGGTTTGGCTTATTACACATTGCTTATGTTACCTTTTCATATTGCATACTTTAAGGCCTAACTGATTTTCTTTTAGAGAGTTTTGGCGACGAAAATTTAGCGTAGCTATTGTCAGATTCCACTGTAGTACAGTGACCAAACTGCTACTGAAATGTCCCCAGTGAAACCAAATGTGAAAGCACTTGATTGATGGAAAGTAATTTGAAAGAAAGTAAGTAGTTTACGCAGTAATGTGAACACAGTATAAAGACGCCAATTAATCTGTTAATCGAAGATATGGCTTCGAATTTCGGTAGGTGGTTGTATGTATGTATTTCTCAAAACATGTGCCATATGATCTTTTTCTTTGCTGATGACGATATATGAATAAACGCAAACTTTATGTTTTCGGTGTGAATCATTCGCTAAACGAGTTTACACTCCATAAATCATACATATATCACGAAAGCCTTTCACTTTTTTTTGAAAAATAAAATTTTCGCAATTTATTGTGGTGTACAATTAGGCACAGCGTGTATGAAAGTGTGAGACGAAGTCAATCTATTCAACCATCTGGCTGCCACGTATTTATGAAAATATTTTTCGTGAAAAAGTGACTGATTATCGTGATATATGGTAAAGTATCGGTTACACGTGGTAATGCAAATAGTTTCGAAAAGTTTGTGTAACTCAAGACTTGCGAAAAGTAGTTGCAAAGGCGTGTGGGAAGTGACTTTCGAAAGTTGTTTTTAATTTCCGAGAAGCAATACATACATATATAAAATTTTACTCAAAAGTAATTTTTATTATTCAACTCAAATTCATCAGCAATTAATTGGTTGACCACACTTTCAGCAAATGTTAAAAATTCTAAAGCAGCACGAGCAAGTGGAAATTAATTTTCGCAAATGACTTAGCTGAAGTTGCACTTTGAAAGTTCTTTTTTCGAAATTGATTTTTCTATTTTGTTAAAAAGTACTTTTCGGGTGTTTCCACGGGAAATTAGATTTCAAGCTCGTAATTTTACAGCCTATAGGTAAAGTGTTTACATTGCAATGCTTAATTGCACTTCTAGCCCATGTATAAGTAGAAACGAAAGCAATTTTTGTACATAGTACATATGTATAACGAACAATTAGTTTAATATGATTTTCATACGAACTGTTCTACATACAGATATACATATAAGTAAATTTATAGTGACTGATTTTAAGTAATGTCAATTAACTTTTAATAAAACGATCGCAATATATGTACGTTTTTTGTTTTGTTTTTTAATTTGAACATTGTCAATTGTGCCTTCTTTGTTTCAGTGATTAACTCATAATGTGTTTAACGCTTATAAATGACAAATTTGAGTAAATATAATTCAGTACAATAACAACAAATTGTTGCAGACTTAACGTTGATAGTTTAAGCGTGCGAGCATGCGATAAAAGCTCTTATTTTAAATTATAATTATGTCAATGAGTAGATATTTTAAAACATAATAAATAGTAAATATAAGAATAACGCTAATATTTATTGATTTAGTTTGTTTTGCAGTTTTAAATAGCTAAAAAATAAACAAAATGTTTTGCAAATAATTAAACACACTCAAAATTTTAATAAATAAGTTGCAATTCAGCTTTTCAATATCTTTCAGTCAAAAGTCAAAAAAGCTGTTTCAGATTTTTGAAAATTGATTGAACGCCTATTGTACTAAAATTTGGCGTGTGATCGGTTCCAATTATTAAAAACTTTTCTTTCAAATTATGTTTTCAGGTCTTGTACGAATCCACTGTAGGTAGTTTGATCAGTGTTTGTGGAAAACATCGTTTTTAGTACCTACAAAACAAAAAATTTTCTATATATATTTTTTATTTTTTTGATATGAAAATTGAAGTCGCTTAAAAATTACTTGTTTTTATTTTATGTATGTTACCTCATATATAGTTTTTTTTATTTCATGTATGTTACCTCATAACTTTGGACCACGTTAACCGATTTCGATTGTTTTCTTTTTTTTTTTATCGGAAAGGTGGTACGCTTTCGCAGAGCCAAATACATACATCTGACATAACCTTTATTAATTTCTTATATCTAAAAATTAAATTTGTAAAAGCTATTAAAACATTGGCCGTGTTTAGATGATTAAAAACGTGTAAAATAAAGAGTTTTGAGTTTAATTCGTCAACTTCAGGTTGACAGTTCGTGAGAAAATATTTTTTTGTTGGTAGGATACTCGCAGTAGTGAAATATTTACCATTTTTTGTGAAGAACTCAATAAGGAGAGGCAACAAAAGGCTGTTTACAATTCTGTTTGTGCAAAGGCTGATTCTATTAAATGCTCAGCAAAGAAATTGGAAAATTCATACCTTGCAGGTAATTTAATTGCAGGTTTAATTTAAATTAATATAATTTGTGAATATTTTTAAAAAATAGCCACAATTTTTTAAAATTAAGTGACATTTTTTTTCTTTAATACAA